TTACTAAATAAAAATGTGTTCTGCTTTATCTTTAAAATATTGATTTCTTAATTTGGGGTTGAAAAGTGGGGGTCGCCTTATACATGGGGGCATCTTATAGATGGAAAAATACAGTAGATAGTCCTAATTTAGTGACTGCCTCATTTAATGACTGTTCACAATTACAACAATGATGAAAAAGTAACTTTGCAACCAATCTTCACATTTACAACCTTCACAGGTCTGTAAAGCAAAGGAAAGTTAAAGTGAGATGGTAAGCACAGTTGTGGTTTCACTTAGCAACCACTTCACTTAATAACCAAGTTGCTGGTCCCAATTGTGGTCACTAACTAATGAACATTGAAGGCAGAGAGTACTATCCTATGGTCCAATGAAAGCCTGATGAGATAATAGTTGCAACAAGGTTGGAAAAGATTTTACCTCCAGTATCTTCCTCCATTGAGAATTCACCAGCAATTAGTGCTGTCATCTACCCAAGCAGATCTATAAGATTTCAAGAAGAATGTAATTGGAAGTCTGATGAAAAGTTTTAGAATTAAGCTACATTAGGAAGTGTTAATTCCTGCTATTTGAGGAAACGTGACTGAGAACTTTGAAAAGATATAGAACATTATATGCTGCTGATCTGGCAAGGTTACTTTCAAACAAATAATCTGCTTTTAGTGAATTATTAGGATGGAGAAATCCAGAGTAAACGGTTAGGAGTATTAAGTATAAAGCTACAAGAATGCTGTGTAATACAGGAAATAAAAGTGCCATTCTTTGGGAATGGAAATCTAAATATGGTATAAGGCAAAGATTTGCCTCCTTCTGAAGCTTTGCTGCCTAAAGATAGATACCTAATAACTAAATTGATGAGTAAACTGTTGTGTGTGTTTACTGCAGCACTTGTTTTCTTTTAAAGGCAATCACTTCATCAAATTCTATGCCCCTTGGTGTGGCCACTGCAAGGCATTGGCACCTACTTGGGAACAGTTGGCTCTGTTCCTTGAACATTCAGAGCCCATCAAGATTGGGAAGGTAAGTTTGATTGGCATGGTAGTTCAGTTTTCATAAGTTGAAAATGACTTACTTTGGCAATAGCACTCACAAAAAAGAACACTGTTTGCTTCATAAACCACAATTGATGTTATCAATTCCTGTTTTGGAATCTTTCTTGCAAGCTATACACCTACTGTAATTCCTGAATTTACTGGAGCCTTGTGTGTTAGTGAAAGCCCTGTCACTTGTCCAGAGGACACATTGAGATTGATTCCTGGGTGTCCTGAGAAGTAGCTTTAGCAAGTAGCTTATCTTGGAAGAATTCTTACCCTTTGTGAGCAAGCTCATGAGTAGTCAATAGGCATACCATAGGCTCTGTTGTTTTAAAGGGGGAAAAGGCCAGCCCCTGCAGCTTACTTTTATGATGCAGCTCTCGTTTTCATCTTAGGCATGTGCATGTAGGTATTGGGACAGCTTCATCTAACTGTAAAAACAGGAGGGTAGTCATATTGTTGGCTTTCTGATGAGAGAAAAAAACTGTTCTGCCGGTCTGAGTCTTCAATTGGATGCACTGTTAAAGTTGAGAAAAAAATCCTCAAGCATATGTAAGGAAGCCCCTTTAAAAAAATGATGTTTACCTTTTTAAAAAAAATAATAAAACGCAATTTGGGGCTGGTGTTTGCTTAAACTTTTCTCTGCTGGCCATTTTTTCTTATTTCATATTGCTCCCCACCTATTTTCCTTCTCACTGAGTCACTCTTTAGGCCATGCTGCTTGGGAGTTATAGTCCCAAAACACTAGTCTGGGGAAAGCTGCTTTAAAATTATTGAAATCAATGGAATTTAAATTAGACTTGTTCCACTGAGTTCAGTGGGATTAAAAGTATTAACTTGCTTGATCTGACTATCCCATTTGCCCTTTTCATCAGTAGCATTAGGAGTAGAGAAGTAATTGCCTTTAAAAGAAATGAATTAATTTCTTTCTCCTCCCTGTTTTGCTTAGACAGAAACCATAATTCCTATGGTTAATAATTTTAGCTGCCCAGAGTTAGCTGGAGTTGGGCAGCATCCCAATTTAAATAAACAAACAAACAAACAAATACTGCAGCTGGCAATTCAACAATTCTGTTTCTGCTTTCTGAAATGGGGTGGATCATTTCATTTCACTTTTATGAAAGTTATTGGTTATTTATTCCTCTTTTCCCATTTTTCTCTAATTTTAGGATTCTTTTTATTTTAATACATAAATTGCTACCATTTCTTTTTCCTACTCATTTTTCTGACTTTGTATCCTGATTTATCTTTTTCTGTTTTTCTAGCTCTTATTCTTAATTATTTCCCTACATATGATTCTTTGCTTAACCTTTTCCTTGTCTTCAAGATTTGCTCTCATCATCCCTTTTCTTAATCTGATTAATTCTACTATTCACATTTTAAATCCTATTGTTTTGTTGTTCATATCTTAACCTTGATAGTTGTTCTACTAACTTTTCTGTTCCATTCTTATCACTAAGATGCCATTGTTAGATGCCATTAATGCCGTAGGAGGCTGACAAAATATACAATAAGCTGGCCAGTCACCTGTCTGCTCAGCCCTTGTCCCTCATCACTCATTACAGTGGGCTCCAAGCAGTTAGACATTCTCCTTATAAGGAGTGTTGATTCTCCTGGACCTCTTCAGCAGTTTTTTTTATACCCTCTGCAGAAGAATTACATGGTTGATACCTCAGTTGGGCAATGCTCTTGAAGACTGTCTGAAAACCTTAGGCAGTATAGAATATGGCAGCTACAGAAATAACTAAAACTGGGCATTATGAACATATCATTCCCAATATTTCACTCTCTCTCAGTTCATTTCTGGACCCATTTCAGGTAGAAACCTGTTAAGCCTTTAATGGTTTGAGATCACATTATCTCATTTTGTATATTTCTACTGAGCCCTGCAATCATCTTTGGAGATTCTTCTCTGCATACTCCCCAGGTTGAGGTGTGGTGGGTAGCTGCGAAGATGCATGCATTCTCAGAGCTGTCTTGCTCAGAAAGGCATACTTGGTACCTTTTTTTTTTTACTTTCTAGCCCCAAGCAAAGATGTTTTTTTTTATAGCTTTAAATTAAAATTTTAACATTGAACTACTCTTCTAGCTAATCTTAGTTTTTATGTTTCAATTTCTGCTATTAGTTTTGTTTCCTCTAATAGTTTAAGTTGTTGTTCTTAGTTTAAGCATTTAGACACCAGTTTTTATCATGATTTTTATGTATTGATTGTAACTTGTCTTGAGAAAGTTTTTGCACTGTGTAATGTCTCTGATGATCTTAATTGTGTCACATCAGAAGAACTATTGCCAGCTCTTATCCTCCTTGATGGTTCCTTAGCATTTGACATAGTTTTCCGTTTTTTATTCTTTTTCTTCATTTTCTGGAGTTTATTAGCATTGGGCTTTCTTGGTTACCCTCCTTTCATGAGTTTTTTAAACAAATACTGTATTTCCTTTAATGGGATTTCAGCTTCCTCTCAGTGTCCTTGGATGTTGTTCTTAGCTCTTTATAATTACTGTATGTTTGCTTTTGGTAATCTCATTTCCTTACCTGCTGTCGTTAGACAATGCTTTCCAGGTGTATATCCCAGCTTCTGTATTACAGAAAACCACTATAAATGTCTGCTGAATTCCGCTAAATGCCCATTAGAATCCAGAATTCTGTTTCCAACTGTGGCTAGCTAGATTTTCTGAAAAATTAAACTTTTGCATGAAGGCAAGATCCCCAAGCATGATTTTTAGTGATATGCTACCTCTGAACACAAAAGTTGTCTAATGTTTTCCATTAAATTAGGTCTATTTCTGCTTTGAAGATGGCTCATTCATTATCTCAAACTCAGTGTACAAAAGACAGGACTTATTTTGTTTCCCCTTAAATTGTCACTTTCATCTTCTTTTTCTCTTTCAGTCCCAACTTCATTCTTCAGTCTTCTCTGCAAGTTGAGTTTTGGGCATATTCTCTCTGATTCTTCTTTGCCTTGCTTGGTTCACATTACTGCTCTAGCTGAGGTCTGTCTATTCTCTCTTTATAATGCTTTAAAAATGTGTGCTTCCTTTTCAAAAACCATTCTTCATGCCGTGCTGATTACACTGTTTGTTTTCCAGACTGCTTGATTCTCAGCTTAAACTTATGTCTTTCTTAACTCTTCGCTCATTTAATTTTTCTACTGGCACGTTTAACTGTTACACTTCCTTGTTTCTCTTTAGTAGCTTCCTGTTTGACCATGTTCAGGTTTTAAAAAGATCTAGTTGATATGTTTGAAAAAGGTAAAGAACGTAGGTAAAGAGGTAGATGGCTCCATTTAATATATAGCCTCGTGCTCATAGTTTTGTTTCTTTACTCTGTTTGGACATAATATCTGAAAGAAGCAGTTTCTTTTCACAATCTTTTACCTTCTTTTGATTGTTTTTTTCCCTATTTCATTCCATTCGTCAAATATTAAATTGCTTAGTAAATTTCTACTTGTTTGCTATTTTCATTTCCCCTTTCTCTCTTTCTTTCCTGGCCTTCTATGCATGAAACTCTTTTTTGTTAGGTATCTGGCAAGTCTTTTTATGACCCTTACAGAAATTATTAAAAAGTTATCCATGCCTTTATGCTTTCTTCAGCATCGAGTCTCATGTTTATTCTTTGATTCTGTTTTCAGTTTAATTATTGTATTGGTTTTACATATATCCTTTTACTTCATTTTAGTCTTAGCCAGCAATTTCTCTTTCTCCCCTTATGTAGTTTAAAGATGTGAGCCTATAGGTATAGAAATATGTATTTTATTTAAACGCCATTCCTAATAGGTTTAGGTCCATACATAATCAATTAGCCTGATACACTTCCGTTTACATCAGTTCAACAGCTGTTCCTTTTGTGCAGTTGAGTGTTTGGGCTTAAACATTTTAAAATATCAATTAAGAATATACTTACTGTGTATATTTACACTATGATCTTGGACTTTGTGGATTTAAAAAAAAATCTTGGATCCTAGGTGGACTGCACACAGCATTATGAAATCTGCTCAGAAAATCAAGTGCGAGGTTATCCAACTTTGCTTTGGTTCAGAGGTGGAAAAAAGGTAAGAATATTATGAATTGGACTTGTTTGTGAAATTAGAGATTTACCTTCACATGATTGCTTGGACTAGAATATCTTCAGGCCTATCTCTTTAGGCCACTTGCTTTATTTTCTGGCATTGTTTCTCCTTCTGCCACTTCAAATTCCTTTTCCTTCTTTCCTTTTCTTAGAAGTACAAGACTCTTCCTTTTGCCCATGTATTACTGCAGTCAAAATACTGTTCTTTTAAAACTCTGCCCTTGAGTTGCCTAATGTCTGTACAGGCCTAATTAAACCAAATTCTGATTTCAGTATGACTCCCTCAAGTGTTATTCAGCAGGGAATCATAGTCTAAACATATTCAGTTTTTTAAGGTTTTTTTTTAAAAATAATTAAACTGGGGGCTTCAGCTAAATCAAAGCTGTTGGTAAAATAATATATTTATTATATTATTATATAATACTGCTGTACGGCCAAGGC